ATGTAACTGATTAATTTTATTTCATAGATGGGGAAATTAGGTTAAATCCACCTGAAGTTGCAAATTCATTCATTTCAATTTCCTGAATAACTGTACAAAACCTAGATGTTGACATCCCTTTTCATTTTATTTTCAGTCAGACCGATGGACAATTTAATGGACGTGTAAAAATATCTTTTTCAAAGACAAATTGGTACATTGTATGGTTGGTGTATAGAAATACATTAGACGATACAATTAGACAGAAGTCTTGCAAAGAAGTATAGATTTCAGTTTAAATACAGTACCGAGGAGAAATTACTCTTGTCGAATGTTCCCTGACAACACTTCTTAATTTCATTAAAAATGACTGAACTTTTATATAAATAATACTTGCAATATTCAATATACGTCACAGTGCTTCATTTGCGTGATGCAGTCGACTTAACTTACCAATGATATTTATACATGAAACAGACGTTATTACTCTGTAAATATACATAAAAAACAAAAAACATTTATTTGAGAATTAAGAATCATTATTAGCATGCCGTATATGTAACTGCTGTTTCCATGGAAAATTTTTTAAGGAATATGATTTATCTGCATGTTTCGTTGTTCACTTTCATTTCCTGTGCTCAGCTTAAAAGCGATTGGTTGATTTGATATAATTAACATATCTGTTAGCAAACTATATGACGTCAATTCCACCGGATAAAAATCATGGAAAATTGTAGCTAAAATGTTCCAGTGTTTTATAAATTCTAATAATTTCTGGACAATTATAGACGATATTAAAGTGATTTCATAATTGTCACACTGGAAGTTTCTTATCTAAAATAAAATAGACCTCTCTTGAAACATTGGCACCTAATGCCGACTTCAAATAAAATTTACTTACCTATGAATTTTACTTGTGATGCAAAACATGCGTATATAAGACTAATTACGGAAATGTTCAGGGATTGTTGTAATTTTGTACGAGTCGGGTTAACTTACGTATTAGAGGGTGCTAAGCATTGAACAAGACCCTGCTGTGTTATTCATTCAAGCCTATAGCCTATGTCCTATAACCTATGCGGGAGTCTTAAACAGAATTCTACTTAAATATGGATCAGCCTTGAGATGCAAATATTATTGCAGTAGAAATTTTCCAGTTGTTAATAACAGTCAAAACTATGTCACCAGTATGTATAGACACGAGATCTGCCTTCTCTCCGTGTTTTATCAAATCTTTATCCTAGCTAGACACCACTGAATTGAAAGACTCTCGTAATACATACATTTATTTTACAATTATGCAAAGACAAACTTGACCTGTATCCAACAAATGCTAACCCCCCTTAGAGAGCTATCGGTTTTGAATGTTAGGATATCGGGAAATTGTGTTTTAATTTCAATCCCCTGGACTTTACATATCTTAAAGAAAGACCACCTTTGATCGATTTCAATATCCTTATGTAAATTGTTGGTATAGAATTTTTAACAATCAGGTTCCTTTAATGGTGACAATTGCAGAACATACCTATAATATCCACCTGTGACCATTGCCTCTTGCAGCGCTGTATTCCAATGCCCTCTATAATAAGATAACTATTAAGAATGCATTATTGGGGCAGAAATTTTTTTTATACTTTCCTGTCACATTGTTCTAACGAAAGAAATTCAACGTTTGAATTATCAAATCACAGAAACACCTTAATGGGGCATTCCACACATTTGAAAAGGAGTTTGAGATGATGAAGTTTATGTACAAAGATATCTAAAATTATAAGAAACTTTTCTGTGAATTTTTGATAACAATTATAATTTATAGAAATAATGTATCGTTCAGCAGTTTAGACAGTTCAATTGTTCTTATACCAGCTTATTATCTAGAAATTCTATAAGCCATAGATAAAGACAGTAAAAATTGTGCAGGAGTACTGAACTGTTCAAATAACACCATTCACTGCGCTTATGGAATTTGGGAGGGGGGTACTTTTCTTTCATTTTTTTTCTTTCGTATTCTTTTGAGCTTAAAAACATTGCAATAAAACTTGATAAATCTGATAATGGCATACATGTATTATTCTTTCACAATACAAAGAGAAAAAATAATTGCACGTCCTTAATATACCATCAGATAGAATACCAATGCTAATATGATCATTATATGTGCATTCGATTTTTCGCTTTGTGGAAGATTGATTGCATTGAAGGCAATTGTATTATGTAATTATTTTAAAAACAGATAAAGAGTATATGCATGCATCATATTTAATTCACTTGACAGCTATTAATCACCCGACTTTGAATGCAAAGAAAAGGACTTTTTCATTTTCGAAAATACCAGAATCTTCATAAGATATAGTGCATTATGTCAATCATTTCAGATTTTTTCCCACTAAATAACCACTGTTATATGGTCATCATTTGGGTATTCATATTTATTTTGTTACGGCCATTATGACGTATTTGATTTAAATAAGTCAGAACCGTGTCCCAGGAGACTTGCTAGTATATTGCTGTCTTCGATGAATGACGTATGATCGGTCACTTCACGAGTAAACAAGCCCGTATATCGGATTTATTCTCTGTTAGGGATTGTAAAACTTTTGGGTCTGACTATATTATTGTTTTCGTTTATCAAACGCTAATGTGTATCTAACACAAAATTGTCTCCGCGATCATAATTTGAAACACATTCATCATTCAGTTAATGCATTAGGAAATGGCTAGTGTAAGTACCATCAATTGTCATTCTCTGATCAATTATCTCGGGAGAAATGGATTTCACTGTGTGTAGCATGGTTTCTTTTATGCCTCGTTACTAACAATTACATAATCAAGTGTTTCTTGACTGTTTTTGCAGGGACTTATGCAATAACGTATACGTAGGTATTAAGGTCCCTGATTTGAAAACCGTTTTAGAACAAGTCTCAACCTAAATTCAAGGTAATTAGAGCTTCAATGGAATAATGCCATACATTGCTAAAAACGATTGAGGCTTTTTTTTTTATTCAAAAGACGTACAATGTCAAATTAAACTAAACTGGAGAGTTGACATGTTCATAAAGACGGGCATGTGCTCTACATCTATTGCTAATAATCAAATTACAGTCCCTTGTAGAATATACTTGAAACAGCATCGTCGAGACCTACGAATTTTAATTGAACCAATGTCGGACGGTCTTATCATTTCTCTCATTAATTACTTATGAAATAAATTTATAAAGTACAACAGCACTAGTCCTCTTCAAACAATGTTAAATATATTGACAATTATGTATATGCAAACCCTTGATTGATTGTCTTGGTGTATTTATTTAAAATAAAGTATCACAGATTTGTTTAATTCGATGTGCTTTTATACATATTAATTACTATGTTGTTACATAACTGCATTTCGTAACGTGGAACGTTTCATAGCCTACTTTCGTCAGAGATTTTTCAAAACTAGCTGTATAATATCAATATGCTCAATATTTTGAATGATAGACTAAGTACTTTTTCTATCATTGATAGTCCGAAATGTGGCCAAATTTAATTAAACTCGGACGTTGAGAGCTTTGCTTTTCCATTTTTCCTAATTCCCTTTTGTAAAACGAGACTGCATAGACGATAATTATTTACAATCTCTAATTTGCATAATTTTTTTCCCTTTAATTATTACTGATAATTTCTGGGATTAATTCATTTGACTAATTATAGTGATGCAATCTTTATCTGGAAGTCACGGTAGGCCATATCATATTAAAAAGTATAATATGGCCTACCGTGACTTCCAGATAAAGATTGTTTTTAAAATAGATCTCTTTATATTATGATACCATGTATACGTCTTGGTATACTATAATGCTTCAGACATGCTAGATTGAAATAGAAAATTACTTTATATATTACCGCACAAAGGCTCTTTTTTGTAAACTATAATGCTTCAAACTGAGATGATCATGGAATAGGATTCTTTGACAGAAAGTCAGAAGTCAACATTTATCATTAGATGAACAATTTCATTATTGATTATTGTAAAAGTGTATGTTATTTAATTATTTTATGTAAGAAATGTACTTTAACTATGTTTAAAAATGTGTAATGCAAGAAATAACAACTTCTACCATTCTTCAATACGATATGCAACATAAAGTTGTGAGGATTGATTCTTAAAAGAAATGTTCTAAAAATGTCAAGAATGCAAGAAACCCTATCCAAAAGATGCCCATATAAAAATTCTTATATTTCTGTATTGTGCTTTTAATATATTAGTAAGTATAACTTTTAGGGGTCCTATTACCCTTTCTGAAGATAAAGCAATAACAATTCCATGATTTTGTCATAGATGAGCCATACTGAGTCTGTGGAATATACATGTTATTAACAATTCACAAAAGGAATTGATATACTAACAAAACCTGTACATAATTTAGATTTTTCATATCTATGTAGAGATAAAGGCTTGAGGTTCTAGATAGTCGAGCCAATTACTATTTTATTGACCAAACGACACCTCTCTGAGCCGTGATTTACACTATACGGCACTGCATTTGCATAAACCTTTCATACAAATGCATCATTTGCGTGTGCAACAGTGACATCTGCTCAACCTGTCACGTTACGTTTACTTATAGAATTAGAGCAAGGCATTTTAACTGTCCTTGACATCTGCAATCATTATCTTCGAAGTGCGTGTTTACTGAACACAGAAACCTCGGTATTGTGAACTAGCTAGGCTAGGAAAATTACGTACATGGCATGATTACCAAAGATATATTAACATCATTTGCTTATCCTTTAAGCTAAGTGGTTTAACTGGAAAGAAAATATTTACACTAGAAGCATCAAATATCCTCGTTTTATATGAGATCTTTAAATATTTTTCGACCGTTGAAAGGTCAAATAATATTTTTGCTTGGCCATAGAATTTTAAAGTCCGTATTGCCCATTCATCAAAACAAATGCTTTGATACTTGTTTACCAAAATTCTCTCCGTAAGCATTTTTCTCATTTTTTCTATGAATAAAACAAAATAATGATATACATGCAGTTTTTCATCATTTTATTAAACTTAAACAAGGAAATATTGAATAGCGTCATTTTGACATATAAACAATTAGCACCAACATTTGTTGGACTGTTTAATACAGCTTGTGGTATCATCAGAACGTAATAGCAAGAACATCTCTTGGTATCAAGTATATACAATTACTGAGACAGTCCGACATAAATACTTGACTGAAATCAAACTATAACACCAGTCTTAAATCTTTCGATTCAATCCAAGTCACAGTAATGTTCAGTTCTGTAGTACGTTCTAGCTACTGGGATGGAGGCTCTCCGTTCCGTCCGAACGGAACGCGCGCCGGTACCCGATTTGTTCGAGATGTAGAAGAGTTCAATTTCTTCTCAAGTTTTCACCAATTTGGGCCTAATTGGGTATTAAGTCCAATATTTGGTCGAGACATCTCACGTATCGCTTATTGGAGACAGATCGCGATAGTATATTACGGACCCGATCAATTGTCCATTCTTAAGCTTGCCTCCCAATGGGAGGAAACCCACTTGCTGAAAGTCTCCGATCTTTTCAATGATACGCCGGACGGCAATATTGTTGGAGAAAGTGTCCACGTACATGCCCATATAACCGATCTTTTCGGAGAACTCGATGGCCTTTCGCATGCAGAATTCGCCAAGTTTCTGGTTTCTCTCGGAGCGTTTGACAATGATGAAAGGATCCACCACTCCATTTGCTCCACGATAAAATTTGCTGACGGCTAAGATAAAACCAGCTAACAGTTCGCCACTTTCTTTGCAAATCACGGCAAAGCAGTCACTTCCTTCAATTTCTCGGCGGAAGTCTTTCTCGGAGTCGAACTCGTCGATTCCGTATCCGTCTCCATGTTGGGCGGCCTCCTGAATCATGCAGTAGGTCTCCGTTAGCTGCAGTTCAGTCATGAAGTCAATGATGACATGGCGACCATTTATCAGAGTGGCTACCATTGGCAGTGAGTTGATCCAAGTCATTCTCTCGATAAATTTCGGGCTTTCTTGGTTCAGAAGCATTTCTGGCTGCAAAGATAAAAAAAAATCCATAAGTCATTAAGTTTCATGTTCAGGCAAACTTCTATTAATCATTTTTAAAAACATCATATTTCAAATTTTCTCAATTTTTCGTTTCACAACTTTGAAGTATTTAACCTATCCCTTTTCCCTATGATGTGCAATTATTTTTACATCGGTCTGGCATTTGTCCAATTGATAAATTTGCTAACAATGCTACAATTTATTGAGATTTTTATTACAAAAGACTCGACATAATTACATCATCTTAATTTCATAAACATTGCGTTTTTATGCATTGTCCTCAAGTAATAATTTGTACAGGTGACGAATATCATAAAATGCTCCAGGCAAACTCTTAACATGTCTAACGCAATACTTTGCTACTATTACACCATTACGTAATGTAAAAATTGATGAAACAGCAAAATGTAAAAATAGTCATAACAGTGTACATACCTTAATGCGTCAATGAGATCAAACAGCTAAATCCAAATTTTAAAAAAAAGTGTTGCAAAAAATCTGTTTCAAATGAAATATCGTGTTCTTCCTCCACAGGAAAGAATGATATGGACTATCTGATTTCATTGTCCTTATTTATACCAACTCTCGATGTCAACTGACTGAAATGGGCGGAGTTAACTCTTTTGTTGACAATCCGGTTTACTCTGGAAAGTTGCCAAGTCGGGCTTTCGCTGTTGATTTGAGGCAGTTCTGTAACGATTGGTCAATGAAATCTTGTGGTTTTGTGGACGCGGTAGACAGTGAATTATGTGTTAATTATTACAGCTTTATTATTTCTGATTATTTAAATAATCTGCTCTGAAGACCATTGCTATATCCTTGGTAATTTTTATTTAAAAAAGAAATAACATTTATCCAATGATAAACATAATGCCTTTATTACAACAGGTATTGGAAACTATTTTTCTTTTGTTAATACTGTAATGAAGACTACTTATAAATCAACTAATGCATATTTCATTGTTGCAATAAGGTAAACAGATTATAATCTTTTATAATTTGATACGTAAAATAAGCCCAGAAATTTTCCTACTATACTATACATGTAAAATGTGTAACAGGATTTTGTGGTTTTCTATACATATATATGTAATCTTAATTAAGTGCGCGATTGACCGACATCTGGCCATTGCATTGTCCGCGAAAACGATTTGACAATATTTGAACAACAGGTTATGCACCCTTACTTGTGGGTATTTATAATATATGCATGTATTTATAAATATGATCCTTGTTGAGAAAACTTGATTAATAAGACAAATGACTATCAAAGATTAACTGTGCTATTATCGATAAGACTCGACCTTTATCCTTTGCTTATCTATGAAATTAGTCACTGTCCGGATTAAGCAATTCAAATGAGATAGAGAACTTTAAGTTTATTGTCATATATACTTCACACTGTAAATGATTATAATCTGTGTAAAATCCTTGACAGAGTTTAAGGCCTTATTGACATATTACCATTAAAGGTAAACATATGTGACCTAGGCTGGGGTGAAGGGAACTCTTTCGCGCGATAAATCAAAGAATTATCTTGCCGTCAAAAACATCGTCTTAAAATCAATGGAAAACAATCAGCCGAGAGATGAGTCACAATTTATGGTAGATCAGTTTCACGATCGATTTCTTTAAAAGAATTTTCTGATCTGGTTGTTGTAAAATACATTTACTTATATAGTATTAGGCTAATGACCGGAGTGTATTAGCGATTGTCAACACGACACCATAGGGTTTTTAAACGTTTATGTTTGAATTTATACAGTTTTAGATGCCCAGACGGACAGTACTCGAGATTACTTAGGACGTTATATCGATACACTCGCTGTAGTGCAATCAATTAGAGCATGCATCCTGGTTGGCCGCAATAAATTCGAACAAAGACCAGGCGACTATGGAAAATTAATATGACAAATTAACACAGATATTCTTTTATTGCGTAACATCTGGATTTGCATTTACATGTACCGTACCCTATTTACATGTTTCAACAGTTTTAAGATAAGATTAAATGTATGTGTTCATAGAGCTGTATTCAAATATCATTATCAAAGAAAATAACATCCGGGTCTGGTGTAAGTACCAAATCTCGGGTGCCTTAGTATTAATAAGATAACATGGTGTTTAAACCATGAGATCATCTACCCGTTTATATCACACCTCAAGAAATGCATGTACGGACTGAATTAAAAGCTTTAAAATGACCATGACTCATGTTCTATGTATATCAAAATATGGGTATTTACAATGGGTGCCTGTTTCAACTGTACTTACACTTAGCTGTTTACTGTTAAAATAGATCTTTAAATATAAATATATGTAATATGTTTACAAATATGGAAACAAAACAAGATTATTAACCTCCTAAAAGATTGGAAATCTTCATTTTAGCAACAAAGCTTTCTTTTCTCCAAATAAGGTTAATCTATCAGAAGTCCATCAGAGCGCCTGTGACTCACTCTAGGTGATCAGTGGTTGCATATTATTTAGGTAAATAATTGTATCAGTGTTTTGGTTCAGGTGTAGTTTGTCATATCTTTCTTTGAGTCACACTCCTGTGCTGTCGTTCTTTTAAGAACAGGTGCCACTGTTTGCAACTTTTTACTGCATACTCTCGGTGCAGTGTTTTCATAGCTTCCATAAACACAGTAGCCGGATTGTACTATTATTAACTCGGTCGATGATGTAATATTATTCAAATAGCAAAATAGTGTTAAATAGTGAAATAAAATTTGCTAAGTGTAGTGACTTATCCTGCAAATTATAAACAAAATACATAGATAAGTCCAGCGAGAGATAGCCCCCCCCCCCCCAAAGGACCAAGGATAGAGTTATTGAAATTTGCAAATTTATGTGGTAAAGTAACAAAACATTACTTAAACATGAACCTCTCTTAAATTGGAATAAGGAAGGAAAGTAGTTTGTCTATAAGAGGTGTTGTCGACCCCTCTCCCTTCCCCCTTTTTAGATTTTCTGAGTTTGAACATTTTTCGCTTTCATTTATTATTTTTTAATTTCTAATCTTCGTGTCGGGTTTTTCTGCAGTAAGGAATAGAGCCTCACCCCACCCACCAGAAAAAATCCTGAATCCGCCATTGATGAACTTATGAGAAACAATGTCTTATCGCAAAAAAATGTTAAGTTTTGCAATTGACCAATGTATTGATTAATATTGATAATGATGTCACATCAAAGTACTATTTTGTCTAAATCTGTCCCCTATATGACTCACTTCCCTCATTTCTTGTTCTGACAGATACAAAACGGGCTGGGCTTTTTACTGATATATCTAGTATATGACTCTTAATTACAGTCAGAAAGCAGTATACTTATATGATGGGAATTTTTATTTCAATGTCGTGATTTAGAGCGCCATTTTTCAATGAAGACTACTTGATCTGGCTAAATTTGATTTACACACCTTCACATTCCCAGTTCTATATAGATCTGACGTGTATGAAAGGAATTGTGACGTATTTCAATCACTCATTTTCAAGACTATTCAAATTCCGACAATTTTTACAGCATTTCTTTTTTACAATCCTTGTTTTTCATTTGCTTTGAAAATGCCTTTGAATTATAAAATTCAAAGAATTTTCTTTTTTTCCTGATGACTACTGACATACAGTAGGTGCACTATAAAGTTTAGCCTATACCAATCATTCACCAATGTCAGTATGAATCTAAGGTTGCTGACGGTCTTAGCAGACCTGATGGAATTATGTTAAAGATGCAGCCTATTTTTCTTCCTGCAAATTAAAGGTTGTGGGTTAGAGTCTAATTAATGCAGTTATTGCTCATCTACTTATTTTGTTTCAGTTATTGTCTATATAACATTACGTGACATTTAACCATGATAACATGTCAACTTCGCAGTCAGAATTATTTTTGTCTAGTTCCGAAAATTTTTGTTTATAAACAAAATGAGTCATATTACTCATATATCCTTCAATGTTTAATATTTTTAAAAGTAAATGAAGACAAGTAAAATCATATCAAGATTAGAAATAAATAATGGTGAGGTTATTCATGATCAGTCACAGATTTTGAAAGAAATCAAATCTTTCTATGAAAATTTATATACAATTAAAGAAGGGAATACAGACTTAAATTTAGATAATGAGTTGATACATACTGATGTTCCCAAACTTTCTTGTGAAGAATCAAACCATTTAGAGGGTGAAATAACCTTGTTAGAAGCCTCAAATACTCTTTATAATATGAAGGCTAATAAATCTCCAGGATCCGATGGTTTCTCTACAGAGTTTTTTAAAATGTTTTGGAAATATATTGGGTCCTTTGTCGTAAGATCTATTAACTATGGTTACAGGAATGATATCATGTCTATTACACAAAGACATGGAGTTATAACATTATTACCTAAAGGTGACAAGCCAAGACCTTTTCTTAAAAACTGGCGTCCTATTACACTGCTAAATACTGTATATAAAATAGCATCTGGCTCTATTGCAAACAGATTTAAAAAATATTTAGATAAAATAATCAACCCTGACCAAACTGGTTTTATCTCCAACAGATATATTGGAGAAAACATAAGATTGATATATGATATAATGCACTTTACAGAAGAAGAAGATATTCCAGGACTTTTATTACTGATCGATTTTGAGAAAGCTTTCAACTCTCTTTCCTGGAACTTCATACAAAAAGCATTACATTTTTTCAATTTCGGCCCTTCCATCAGAAAATGGGTCACTCTTTTTTACACGGATATTAAAGCTACTGTTAATCAAGGTGGTAATTTTTCTGATGTAATTGATATTCAGAGGGGATGCAGACAAGGAGACCCTTTGTCTCCATATATTTTTTTGATCTGTGCAGAGATTCTAGCCATACAAATTAGGAAAAATAAAAAAATAAAAGGTATTACCATTAGAAATGTAGAAAAAAAGATCTCTCAACTGGCAGATGATACTTCCCCTATTCTTGATGGAAGTGAGGAGTCTCTTTTAGAAACACTGAAAACTTTGAACACATTCTCAGATATGTCTGGATTATGCATTAACTTCTCAAAAACACACACTGTGTGGATTGGATCCAAAAAATACAGTGATGAGGTTTTAATCCCAAATTATCAACTTAATTGGGGAACTGCTAGATTTACTTTATTAGGTATAAATTTTGATGTTGACCTAGATAAAATGTGTGAAATAAATTATCAACCAAAGCTAGTGCAAATCAAGTCTATTCTTAGTCAATGCGGAAAAAGGTTTTTAACTCCAATTGGAAAAATTACTGTTATAAAGACATTGGCTTTACCTATATTAAATCATTTATTTATGTCAATCCCAAATCCATCTAATTCTTATTGTAAAGAATTAGAAAAACTTTTTTTCTCATTCTTATGGAATAATTCAACTCATAGAGTTAAGAAAGATGTCATTGTTAAAAAATATGAAGACGGAGGACTGAAAATGATAAATTTAAATGCTTTCATTGTTTCTTTGAAATTAGTTTGGATAAGACATCTAGTTTTTACAAATAAAGGGTGGGAAAATTTC